ATTCATGGGGTCACGAAGAGTCGGACACAACTTAACAACTGAACAACAACAACATAAGATGATGGTATTTCAGAAAACACATTTCTATTACGGAATTTTCTGCTGGTCTTAATTACTGCTAGTGCTGAGTCTACTTAGCTTTTAGCATCAAATGAATACATACATTTGTACAAATTCATTGCCTATTACAAACTATCTTCATAGTACAATACCATACCTATATTCTCAGATTTCGGTGGTGCTTTTTCCCAGATAAGTTAGTACAGTATATTTATATAGATTTATACATAAAATAAAAATAAATTTACAAAGTTAAAAATGTCCAGCTAACTATTAAAAACTTTTACAGATTTATTATTTTTAGATTACACGGTTCAATATTTAGGGAGCTGCAGCTCAGCATCATTGGGAGGGTAACATGCTATCCATCCCTGTTTTGAATGAAGATTTCTTCATTGCTTACCTAATTCTTGGAGTTCCCACATATATGGATCCACTCCACCATAGCTGTAAGATTCATATCGTTCCTGAGACCCCCCATCATTCCGGTCATCATCTCGTTTCAACAGTTTATTTTTTGCTTTTTTTGCTTTTTGAACAAGATCTAAAAAGGATAAAATGGTACATGTCACAAATTCTATTTATACATTTAAACATGATAGTTAAGACTTGCTTCTTTATAGTTGTCTCTGTGATAGTGTGGCCAACCCATGGATAGCATGGAGCAGGGCCCTGCATCCAATTTGCAATTTCCAGAATTCCCTAGAATGGGTTGGCCCGTGATTTTTAAACTCAGTTTGTCCTTTTGGCTGGATGAGAAAGTTTAAAGGCAAAATAGCATGTCTTAAAAACATCTCCCCCCCACCCCCAAAAAACCCCAAATCAGGCTGTATTTCCTAGATGGACAAGCTTAAGTGGCAAAATGGAGACCTTAATTCTTTGTTCTAAACCTGGCTTTCTAGCTCAGATTTCCTTGGCAGATATAACAGCTTTTTCTCCTCTCTCATAGGAATGGGATGCACATTATTCTGAAATTTGCACTAAAATCTGAAAATGAGAAGAATTACAAAAATGCCCACAAAACACAACCCTGAAAAAAAATCTCCTATTTGGTCTGACCTGTTGGGAATACAAATGTGTCAATTAGCCAACCAGTCCAATTATTGGCAGCTCACAGGAATATTTTGTACCCTGTATAGACTTAATTTGGGAAGCAATTTGTGCAACAGAACACTGGACAAAGCAGAAGGCAAGAGCACTTTAAAGGCAGAACAATGACGCATTTAACAGCCTTCAGAGAACTGGGAAACAACTTGTAAGGAGTGAAGGAAATTAACAGTTCAACACAACCACTTGCTCTTTGTGTTTATTGTGAATGGATTTCTAAGTGTTTGGCTATTTAAAGGAGGGGGGGATGCCCAATAATTAGCATATAAACATGTTACAATTATTTTGTACCTTTATGGCTACCACTATTCTTAAGCTCTTGTTACTAATTATTGTAGCCAATGACTGAAATTGTATGGTGACTAAGGACTGTTTACATACCACATTTCATCCCATCAGAGTATTCCCAAGAATGACTCTGAATGTCTGAAAATATAATGAAACTAATGCGTCAAAATCACCATGACAATCAACAACACATACAGCTAGAAGTAGCTTGACTTAGTCTGGGTCCTCAGGGACAGAAATGGACATGAACCTAGAAACATTAGCATGACTTATGAAACAGTATGTTGTATGGCTAAAATTGTAGGTAGCGAATAGCACTAAACTGATATTAATGATTATTAATGAACTTGCACTAGTTTCCCAAAATCATGGTATCAGATAGCTATGTATAGTGTGTATCCTGTATTCTTCTGGCACCCTGGCTAAAGTATCCCTTTTGTTCTGACTAAAGCAACAAGAGCAAGAAACCTGAAGACCATCAGGAATGACTAAGTTACTCAGGTGGTAGCTCAGGGGGCAGCATGTAGCTGCCTATGTGCATCCTTCACTACTTAAACTGACGGGAACTGCCCCATGGTACTTAAGAAACTTCCAAGCACCCATCCAATCACAAATGACCACTTCAGCCAGAGAACTCACAATTAACCAATTCTAAATGGCGCTCACTCTCACAATCAGCTATTTAAAGTAACAGATGGGCATATATAGTATTACCTTTTACTTTTATCTCCTGGTGTCATGACTTTTCTGTAACTAGCTAGATACCCCATACCAAATCCATTCCTATTTACCTCCTTTACATTCTTTGTTTTAAGGTCTGTAACTGAACCCAAGTTTGAAAGTCCAGTACTTTGTTTCTTTCATAGCGGAGGCCTTGGCTGCTGCCTCGAATAGGGAGGCGGCTGGGGCTTTGGACAGGATCGTGCCTATGCAACCTCTCTTGCCACATTGGCCCCAACACTCCCCGTGGTTTACGGAGGAGTTGAGGGTGCTGAAGAGGGTTAAGAGGCGTCTAGAGCGCCGCTGGAGGAAAACAAAGACTGAATCCAACCGAACACAGGTTAGAGCCGCTATCAAGGCCTACCTTGTGGCAATAAGAGCAGCGAAGCGCCACTACTTCTCCACCCTTATTGCATCCGCAGAATGCCACCCGGCGGCCCTGTTTAGGATCACTAGGTCCCTCCTTGGTAAGGGGGATGTGGAGGTTCATTTGCAGGGCAGTGAGGAGGAATTTTCGGAGCATGTGCAGGACAAAGTCGCTCAGATTCGTTCCAAGTTAGACTCCGAGCGTGGGGCAGGGTCTGGGGAGATACCGGGAGACCGTTCTTGCCCAGTTATCTGGGAACAGTTTGATCCTGTTGTTCCTGAGGAAGTGGACAGGA